AGATTTTACTGGTTATAATGATTTTTTCAACTTTCTGTAGATTTGAAAAGTTTCAAAATAAAAAGTTAAGGAGAAAATCTTTGCTTCAGAGCCCAGCTCAGATTTTATCTCATATGAAGACTTCCTTTTCCCAACCACACTGTCTAGAGGGGATTTGCTCTCCAACTTTTGTGTTTATTTTATAATCCCCAAACCTGAGTGCCACATAAGAGCTGCCTAAGAAGTTGACTTTTTAATTTTTAATTACAAATTCCAGATGCATTGTAAGACTAGGCCCGAGAATCTGGAACCACTGGTTTGAACCCGTATTCTGTATTTATTACCTAGAGTTGCTTGTCTTTTTCACATAGCCCCACCTACTCAGTGGGAGCCTAGGGCCAGCCCTTGAGAACGTGGCTCAGTCGTTTGTGTTGCTCAGTGCTGGCGCACAGTGCGGTGTGCCTTCCACACACTAGGGTTTGGTAAATATATGCTGACTATAACACATATGTTGGGACTAATCTGCTGATAATCTGAAGAGACTACCAGAAACTTCTCCATGGTTTTGAGAGATTTAAAAAAAGAAGAAACCTAGCTGATAAAAGTGCTTAGTCAGTACAAAAGTCCATTAGAAAGATGTATAGTTTTTAATTCTAAAACTATAGGTTTGGTTTATAGAAATAACATGATTGTTACCAGCAAATGTTTGGATTTAAGAGTTAACAGTGATATCATAGTTGAGTTTTATTACCTCTGCGAATGGATGTATAAGGACTCTAGTACTTGATCTCTATAAAAATACAGATACCCAGAGATACAGTTTTTTCCCTTCTACATTTATTGATATGACTGACACATGGCACTGTATATGTTTAAGATGTAAAACATAATTTGACTTACATACATAATGATATGATGACAGTAGGTTTAGTGAACATAAATCTCATATAGAAACAGTACAAAAATAGAAAAAAAGAGTTTTTTCCCTTGTGATAAGAACTCTTAGAATTTACTCCCTTAACAACCTTCATAGGTAAGGTAAAGAAAGCAGTGTTAAATATCTGTATCATGTTGTACATCTCCAATACTTATTTATCTTATAACTCTAAATGTGTACCTTTTTTTTTTAATGCTAAGATGATTTTTTTTAATTGGATAATTGAGAGTTTTTGGTATTGGAATTGAGATAATGAATGACGGTTGAGGTTAGGTGTTAATGCAAGAAAGAAGAAACAATTAGAGATTTAAAAAATAAGGTCTTTGAAGATTTTTATAGGCTTGAAGCTGGTTTTGAGTATATAAAAAGTAATAATGGCTGACATTTTTGATTTTAGTGTTTATACAAGCCATAGATTGCTTTAGCTGAAGTATTCGTAATCCCTAAAACAGGTCTTCCAAGTAGATATTGATGTATAGATGAGAAAATTGATTCTCAGAAACGTCTGTCATGTCCCTAGATTCACACAGCTAGTACATGGTGGAATCAAGAGCCAAACCAGGCGGTGTGGGTTCCAAAGCACTTGCTGGTAAATATGGGAAGCAGAATAGCTTGTGACTAAATGTAGCTTACCTTAATTTGAGACTTAGTGAGGAAATGGTATGGGAAATGGGAGAACATTTCATAGCATTAGTTCTTTGAGAAGAAAAAAAAAAAACAGAGAAAGGAATTAGGGGAAGGGAATTGATCTTTACCAGGGATTAATTATACAGTTGCTTAGACCCACAGGAAGAGTATATAAAAAAGGCAGGTGTATGAACCTTGACCAGTATTCAAGAAAAGCAAAATCTTGCACAGAAAAGTATTCTAGTATAGCTGCAATATTAACCTAACCTATCTTTAAAGTATATAATGTATTTATGTATATTAAAATAGCTGAAATAAACATTTTCACTTTGAATTAAAAACTTGATTTAACACTCTTAAAAATAAATAGAAAAAATGCTCTAGTATTAATACATCTAATTATCCACACATTTAAAAAATATTTCATTGGAATGAATTATGGCAGTAATATTTTTAGGTAAAGCAAATTTTTACGTCCATATAGTAAGACAGCAAACAAGGCTACATTATGAGTAATAAACCGGTATGTGTGCAACTGCCATCTCCATTAAATTTAATGCTTTATGAAACTTCATAATTCTAAACTAGCAGTCACTGCAGGAAAAAAATGAGTGGTTAAGATATAATTTTAAAGATTAAAGAAAAAATTTCCCTGTTGACAACTTAAAACCATTCTAGAAATTCTAGATAAATGACATAAATGATGTCAAGATTGTTAAATTAGACATTGTATTGACAAAGAAATAAGATTAATCAGTGGAACAGAGTTGAAAAACCAGACCAAGCATAAATTATGTTAGTATTTGAATAAAGTGCTGTCTCAAATCAGTGTGGGAAAAAAACGGACTCTTCAGAATATATTAAGGCAGTTAGTTGGTTAGCCATTTGGATTTTGTTAGATCTGCACTAACTGGGCTTCCCTGCTGGCTCAGCGGTAAAGAATCTGCCTGCCGATGGTAAGAGACAACAGTTTGATCCCTGTGTCGAGGAGATCCCTTGGAGAAGGAAATGGCAACCCAATCCAGTATTCTTGCCTGGAAAATCCCATGGACAGAGAGGAGCCTGGTGGGCTATAGTCCATGGGGTCACAAAGAGTTGGACAGGATTTAGCAACTAAACAATAACAAATTCCTGAGGGGAAAGTGGAAAGACATAAAAAGGTCAGGTTCAAAAGGCAAGTTAGGCAACTGAGGCAAAAAATAATTCAGAGAATTCTAAAAGTAGTAGTTGTTTAATCTATGTCATGTCCAGCTCTTGCGACTCCACGGGCTGTAGACTGCTAGGCTCCTCCCGTGTCCATGGGATTTCCCAGGCAAGAATACTAGAATGGGTTGCCATTTTCTTCCCTAGGGGATCTTCCCAACCAGGGGATCAAACCCACATCCTGCATTCCAGGGGGATTCTTTTCTGTGAGCCACTGGGGAAGCCCTGAAAGCAGTACCATGTGTCATTTCGCTGAATCAAAAGGAGAAATGTAGCTGAAATCAGTAGAACCATACAATAGAACATAAAAAGTATATTCAAAAGTGGAGGATGGGCATGATGTGCTTAAACAGCCCAAAAAATGGTAACTAAGCAGTTTTATAAGGGAGATTCATATAACAAATGTGTCTCTTGCTTTTGTGTAGCACTTCATGCTTTTTTCCCCATACATTTTAATTGAGAGAGGATTATCTAGCTTTGTAGTGGCTGATATCATCCCATTTTTATGGATGAAAACACTGACGCTTAAAGAACATTTTCTTGGTTGTGAGGCTTAATTATCAATAGTAATAACACCAAAGCCAGAGACTGCTTTGCCTCAATCAAGTGGGTGGTCTTGTCATCATACTTTGTCATTTATACTTCCAGGGAGATGAGAGCTAGCCATGGAAACATCCTGTGATTCTCGTCAAGCCTGACAAACTTGACATGAATAAATCACTATTACCCAATGTTTACCCAGCATGGGATTTTTTCCCCCTGCCTACTGAAATCTTTTAAGGCTCTTCAAGGTGAAAATTTCCAAGTGTTGATGAAAATGAATGACTTTTTGCTTTGTGACAACCTAGAGGGGTGGAATGGGGTGGGAGGTGGGAGGGAAGTTCAGGAGGGAGGGGATATATGTATACCTCTGGCTGATTTATGCTGATGTATGGCAGAAGCCAGCACAATATTGTAAAGCAGTTATCTTCCAATTAAAAATTTTTAAAAAAATGAGTTTTAAATGACCACACTAAAATGAGCTATCATATTTCACTCTAACTAGCAAAGATGAGGAAGATTGATATACTGTTAGCCAGAGTTCTGGAGAATGGATGTTCCATGCTGCCAGAAGGAGTATAAATTGTTATGTTTATAAAGGACAGTCTGGCAGTATACATCAAAACTTATTTACCTTTTTCCATAGCAATTTTATTTCTAGGAGTTTATTCTAAGGATATAATGGAATATGTGCCCAAAGATATATGTGCATGTATTTTACCACAGCTTTGATTTTTAAAGTATTTATATCTTTCTATATTGACTTTATTGAGCGTAGATTGCTTTTATAAGCAGTAAAACACTAATGCTATTTTATTTATGGAAAAATATAATCTTTCTATCACAGGATTCTTGCATTATGACTATAACTCCTATTTGATAAGAACTACAGCCAATAATGACCCTGGAAACTACTGATTTTCTCTTTAATCTCTGACAAGCAATAGAAGGAAAAACTTCTAGAATCATTACTGGATGAAAGGCGGGATGATTTGGGGGAAGCAGTATGATTAGATGAAAAGAATATGGGAATCAAAAGACCTAGATTTGGAATCTATCCCTGCTTCTTAGCTGCAGTTGTGATTTAGGCAAAGCTGCTAACTTTTCTAAAGCCTTTTGTTGTTTTGTTTCCAGCAGTGAAGTGAAGATAATTGCTGTCTTTCTCCGAGGGTTGTTTCAGTTTCAAATAAGATTAGATTTCTGAAAGTTTCTTTGCAGATTCTATGGCTTGGGAATAACGATAGTCAACTTTATTGAGTACTGTGTGCCGTGCATTGTACTAAGCACTATGAGAAATTGCCTCATTTCATGCCTTGTATCAGCCCTGTGTGGTTAATGGTTATCATCCTCTCCTACAAGTGAGGAAATTGAGACATAGACCTAGAAGCCTGCCCAGGGCAACAGCTGTAAGAAGCGGAGCCATGAGAGAGAATCATATTTGGGGAGCAGTGTAGCAAGAGGTCTCTAAGAAGTGTTCATCTCAGCAGTCTGCTAGGCTTCTTTGATGAAGACAGCAAGTATGAGGGAAGGGAGAACCCAGTGGAAATAACTTAGCAACAAAGGTCTGTTTTCTTTGTTAAACTATTATGGGTTTGGGAACATACTGTAGGGAAACTATAGGATTTAGAAATCATACAGATAGATTTTATATGGGCTTATTAATACTGGAGTGGTCTTAATATTTTTAGAAATAATCTAGAAAAAGAAAAACCATAAAACAGAATTTCTTCTGAGATTTGAACATTAAGAATACACATGCAGAGGAAGTGAACAGAAAATCTTCAGTGGAGTTGGGTTAAACATATATCTACCCAGAGTCCATCTTGAAGATGGCAGGCTCTTAGCCATCAGTAACATCCTAGAAGGAGATCATGTGGATATTTTAGATCGTTCTCTGTCACTTCTGTTGTCTCTCCTCTCACCTTCACCCCCTTTTAACCTATTCCCAGAGATCCTGGGTATCATCACCAGAAAGCATATGTGAAGCAAGACTGGAAAACCTATTCCCCTTTAATAGAACACATTAGCAGAGTTCTCCTTACTGTGAAGTAAGAAAAAAGCATAATGGAACTAGAACAAAGTCAGTGATAAGCAGTTAACATAGTTAAACAAATGTAGTGGTTTTCACCTAAGAGCAGACTGAAAGGACTAGGATTTGTCAGTCTGGAATGAAGGTTTGGCAAAGATATAATTACTTTCTGAATTTAAGTGTGGAGTATAGATGAAGGGTGGATTGGTTCATTTACCAAATTCTGTGGCATCTTGCCTCATCTTTACTATCCAGCTTTTACACAGAGAGGAGGCATGATCCTGAAATATAAAAGGATCCTACTTTGTAAAAGATCATACCCTTGTATCATTAGCAGTCTGAAAGCATTATGCTTTTGAGATATATCCATGTGAAATTTGGCCCCATAGGCATTGCAACTACATATTCAAAATCTGAATAGTTCAGTTGCAAGATCTGAACTCAGTTACACAAATCACGTTTCCATAATCTTGTTTTCTTCATAAATAATTGATTAGAGGGAATTGCAAGTAAAAAGAAGAAAATACATACTTTATTATGGATTAATACTTGAGATGACTTTGTTCTAGGGAGAAACCAACATGTCATTTTTTTATGTGCAAAGACTATATGGAGAAAATTCGACTATCAAAGATTGTACGCAAATTTTCCAAGGTGGGGAGATTATAATAAAGGTTTTGCTGTTCCGGGTCAGCTAGAGCAACACTTAACAAAATAGGGGCCTTCACAGGAGCCTGTGAAATAGATAAATAATAAAATATATATATTTGTGTAGCTCTTTAGAGTGTTTAAAAAATGCTTTCACATACTGTGTGGAAGTGATGCTTGAGCTGGCTTGCTGGATGTTGGTTTTGTTTCATAGGTATACAGGCAGAGTTCCATTACTTATGTATCTCTGATTCCTAGTAGTTCTTTTCTGAAGCCGTCTCCTCAGTTTGTTAGGTGTGCCAGGGGTGTGTCCTGATCCTTTCGTTCTTGTCGTTGTAGTGCTATGACTTTTAGATCTGTGTTGGCCACAAGTAGTTTTGTAGCAATGGAGAACTATATTGTTCAAGTGCTTTGCTTATTTCTTTCTTTCTTTTCTTTTTTTCTTAGATCTGTTCTGAGGACCAAGATGCATTTGGGGGATGGTTACAGAAATGAGCCATGGTAGGCAATAAAAATATACATTCAAAGTTGAATGAAACATCCATCCTGGAAGGGGAGCAGACCCTTACCATAATGTTGAAACTCATTGCCCCGTTATTTGTTGAAGAATTCAGTGTCTGTCTGTTTGCTTCTTAGGTTTCATAGATCAACAGTTTTCTTCTGTCATTCTAGGATTATAGAAGAATTAGTTTATAAGGGACTTTGAGAAATGATGGTGGTTTCTTAAAGTACATACCATTTAGCATTAATCCTGAGATGGTTTCTTGGGGGGAAAAATGTTTCTAGGCCAAATTCTTCTGGGGAAGCTGCAAATTAGGTCCTCTCTTAGAATTCCATGGTACACTCTGATCCTATTTATTGAAACATTGTAATGGTTAGAAACAACTTAATTCATAGATAGGAGAGCAGAATCATAGGATATTACACAACAGTTAAAAAGAGTAAACTAGATAGATGTGTCTTCTAACATGGATGGATTTTTAGAATGTTAATTTCAAAAAGCATATTACAGAGTGAGAATGTATAGTTTGTATGTTTTTTACAAATGATATGCTTTTATAGTATACATGTATAAGGCTTGAATTTTTTTAAGAGGGAAAATTTTCATGTTTTATTTATAATAAAAATTAACTAAAGATGCTTACTCCTTGGAAGGAAAGTTATGACCAACCTCGACCGCATACTAAAAACCAGAGACATTACTTTGCCAACAAAGGTCCATCTAGTCAAGGCTTTGGTTTTTCCATTGGTCATGTATGGATGTGAGAGTTGGACTATAAAGAAAGCTGAGCACAGAAGAATTAATGCTTTTGAACTGTGGTGTTGGATAAGACTCTTGAGAGTCCCTTGGACTGCAAGGAGACCCAACCAGTCCATCCTAAAGGAGATCAGTCCTGGGTGTTCATTGGAGGGACTGATGTTAAACCTGAAACGCCAATACTTTGGCCACCTCATGCGAAGAGCTGACTCATTTGAAAAGACCCTGATGCTGGGAAAGATTGAGAGCAGGAGGAGAAGGGGACAACAGAGGATGAGATGGTTGGATGGCATCACCGACTCAATGAACATGGGTTTGGGTAGATTCCGGGAGTTAGTAATGGACAGGGAGGCCTGGCGTGCTGCGGTTCATGGGGTCACAAAGAGTCGGACACAACTGAACTGAACTGAAATACAAATAAAATGCTTGTTGAGTGCTTAGCAGGTTACTTTCTTTTTCCTCATTGGAGATATCTGCCCCTGATAATTTTCAAGCATATCTTTCTGTTTATTAATTCATTGTTGTAAGTTAAACTGAATTTTGAGCCCTGGTATTTACAGACTGGGAAGAAAATATTTTCATTATAGTCTATTATAATGAAACTTTTTCACACATTGTAAGGAATAAATGAAGTAACTTAAGTAATGGTCTAGTCTGTGCAAATTCTCAAGAAATCAGGTTATTCAAAGTGGTTCTGTTCCAAGAGATATTTTGAAGAGCAACAGGAAGAAGTTTGAACTTGGTTCTGGAGCAGCTAATGAAGAGTTAAGGAGCGCAAGTAGACAGAGTGGAACAGGGTTCAAAACCAGTTAAGCTGACAGAAGCAGACCGCCTTTTGGTCCTTCCAGCATTACGAATGCTTTTTCCACTTTCATGGATCTTCTTTATCCTATTCTCTAGACTTGATTTTCATTTTGACATCTTCTGAGTCAAACTTGAAGGCAGTGGTGATTCTGTTTGACTTTACCAGTTGCTAGGGATCAATTTTAAGGGGCCACATTTTTTGTGTGAATACACAAATACATTTTTCTTTAAGAAAGGGTAATCTGGAAAAAGCTGTAGCCATATGTCAGGTTTTCCAACAGAACGTTCACTTTATCTCCTCAGTGTGCCTTACGTTGTAAGAGCTTTTGTCTGAGAATTTTAAGATTTCATAAACTGTGAAAGTGTCTCTTTAAAATTATTTGCTTTCAGGCATCTGTATTGGCTCCTTTTTTAAAAAGGGCTCATTATTATATTGATATTTCTTGCAGGTTAAAACAGGACTAAATGATCAATCAACTTTTTGCTCAAAAATGTACTAATATAGATTATGAAGTTATTCAAAATTGAATAACTTCAATTGGCACCTCTACATGCTTGCATGTCAGGAAATTCAGAGTATTATTAAGACATGTTCCTGATCTTAGTGACAAAACTTCTTCCTAAAACATATCTTCTTCCTCCTGTATTGTTTTCATGCAATCCATATGCATAAAAATTGCTAGTAATATGTTTCTTCTACTAGAATACCTGGTGGAACCTAGTATAGTATAAACTGTGAAAGTGCTAAGTAGGGTGAATTTCAGGACTGTTTTCAGCAGTTGGGCAGCCCCAGAGAATGGAAAGGCTGCAGGGCAGGGTGATTACCTAGAAGAGAGATGTGAGGCAGCCATTCTGCCTAAGCAGCGAATGCGTGGCACACGGCATTCCCTCAGGAGGTGGTGTTCACGATGGCTGTGCACTGCTTGGGAGAGTTATCTTCTAACCAGTGACATCTTGGTGTAATTTTGAGATGGGGTCAAGCATAAGGTACAGAAAGTGAAAGAGAGAACTTATAAAGAAGAACTTGAGCACCATACGTAAATTTATTATTTCAAAAAAATTATTTTTAGTGCCCATGACTTCCGATTTCAACTGTCATACTAGCATTGTAGTTGTGATTCTCATTTCCTAGTGCTTAACTGTTGCGGGAATGTATGTCTCAAGTTTTTGAGACATATGGGCTAGTTTTCTTTAATTAACAAATTGAACTCTCTGTCCCTTATGTGAATCTGTGGTATAAACACCACCAAGTTATTTTGCCACCAGTTAATATGCAGAAAATTATTCCCTAGTAACAAGTTTATCAGTATTCTTAGTGATTTGGTAAAGATAACTTAAGTCAGCCCAGTTCCTCTCAGTATAATGTTTAAGATGTCAGAAATGTTTAAGATGTCATTTCTTCTCAAAACAAGAACTGTCTGAGAGTTCTCTAGTTCTAAATCATGCATATTCCTGTCTTCCAGGATTTCTCTTTGATCAAGCAAACAGTTCGGGATACACAGTCCAAGGATGAATGTTCACCGCGGCACTGAGAACGACAGGTTATTGCGGCAGGAGGCCAGCTGCCTGATGGATGAAGCTTCAGCTGCAGCTCAAGAAAAAGAAGCAAATAGTCCAGCTTCCTCTGGTCTTCAAAATCTTACTTATCCTCTAGGTCCCAGGAATGATGGTATGATGATTAGCTTCTGATTTTGTCTGGTGGGCTTTCTGACCCCTGAGCACCTATTCTCCCAGAAGGCATAAATGTTCTTACTCTAAATAATATATCCAGTCAATTGGCTTAGCTTACATATCACAATTATATAAAGCTATTACCAAAAAAATCTCCACTTTAAAAAAAAATTTTATTTATTTGGCTGTGCCATGTGGCACATGGAATCTTAGTTCCCTAACCAGGGATGGAACCTGTGTCCCCTGGATTGGAAGCACAGAGTCATAACCCCTGGACAGCCAGAGAAGTGCTTTTTTAAATTGGAATATAGTTGCTTTAAAATCTCCATTTACTTAATCAGTTTAGTACATCTAACTTGGTGATAATAGTATAAGAAAAATAGTTTCGGGTTTGGAGATTCACATTCTAGCTGTAACCATGAATGAGCGCCTTACTCTTTCTGAGCCCTGCTTTCTTAGTCTAGACAACAAGGATGTTTATATTCTCCTTACCTTGCAAAACTAGAAGACTAGTGAGTTAATAGATGTCAAGGCTCTTGATAAATTGTTAGGTTCTTTTTAACTTTTAATAAAAACAGTAACAACAATAATAATAGCAGTTACCATTTATTGAGCACTCACTGTGCTAAAAGTTTATTTTTTTTAGATCAAGGGTGGCAAACTGATCAACTCTGAACCACTGCCTATTTTTATAAATAAAATTTGAAACACAGCCATCATGCCCATTTGTTTACATGCTATCTATGGCTACTTTTCTGCTTGTGGCAGAGTCTGACCCACAAAGCCAAACATAATTACTTTTTAGCTCTTCACAGAAAGTTTGCTGATCCCTGCTTAGATTAATCTTTTTACAGATGGGGAAGCTGAGGCTTCAGAGGTTATTAGTAACTTGCTCAGGTTCACACTGCTAAAGGCAGGGGGACTGGGAGTTAAACCTGTCTTTCTGGCCAGCCCTTGCTGACAGAAAAGCGGAGTGTGCCTGCCACCCTCGAGTGCCCGTCACAGAGAATTTAGGCAGCGAACCTCCTCCTGCTCACCCAGTTAAGGCGGACGGAGCCTGAGGCACCCTTCAGGAATCAGTCCGATTTAATTGCCTCTTCACTGGGAAACCAGTGTTCCGCAGAACTGAGTCAAATTGGGTACCTAGTTTCATTTTTAAAAACAGTACTTACACTGTTGAAAGCCTGTCTTGGTGATTAAAGTTTTTCTTGCTACAAGCTTGCCCAAGGATTGTGTAGAAACTTAGTTCTTGGTATCCAGAGGGCCACATTGAAAATTTACCAGAGGCTGTAGGATGTGAACCTTAAACAGGTTTTTGGTCTAAATTTTGGTTTCCTTTTCTCTAGAAGCAAATGGGGAAAAATCAAGTATACTCTAGCTAACAGTTTATTTGGTTATCTTCAGTGCCTGAAATAAAACTAATTTCTCAGAGGTCATGGGCAGTAATTCTGTTCATGAATTATTGTAAACAAATTTACAAGACATGAAGTGGGAGTGAGACATTAAATTCTACCTATAACATAACATTTCTTTCTAAAAAAGGTTGAAGAAAATTTAGGAAAATGTTAACTAGCCAAATCCAAGTGATGTATACATACTGTATTAACTCTAGGTTTTGATATATTTGAAATTTTTCATTAAAAAACACATTATTTTTCATTAACATAAAACATACTAGGAGAGCTCCCTATTTAAAAGAATTTTCTGGGACTTCCCCAGCCATCCAGTGGTTAAAACTCCACACCCCCACTGCAGGGACTGTGGGTTCAATACCTGGTCAGAAAACTAAGATCTCAAATGCTGCATGGTGTCGCCAAAAAATTTTTTAAAAGAATCTTCTGGTAATCCTTTTGAAAATATTTTCTCAAAAAAAAAAAAGAAAAATATTTTCTCCTTATCGTCTTCTGTATACAGCCAGATTTCAGATATCTAGTTTTCAGCCTGTTTGCATGATGTGGTATTATACATTTTTAAGTGCTGTTGCATACTTTATTTCAGTTGATAGTCAAACCAATCCTCTGAGGTAGATGGAGTGAACGTTATTTCCACTTTACAGATAATGAATCAGGTTTAGAAAAGTCAGATTCTTTAAGGAAATGGCTCTTTGGTGACACGAGAACAAAAACTTTGATTCCATGAATGAATTCTAATCCAAGACCATTTGCATTGGAACTTTTCCATTGAGAGCAAGATCTGTCTGTTCATAAAATGGTGTTGGTAATATTAGGATTCCCCTATGCATAATGAAAATGCATTTTTCAATGAATTTCTAGGAAAAGTGGGGCAATTAGAGACTATCACTATCCTTTTTGGAAAATAAAACTTAGAAATGTTTTTTTAAGAATGTGGGAAACTAATAGTGTTGGCTAATGAAGTTATCAAGTTTCTTAAATAAAATGCAGTAAATATGGGTGGTATTTAGAGATAGAAGTGAAAATGAAAATAAAGTGCCTCTGAAACAAGACTAGCTGAGGTTTAAAAATATGGCAGAGGATTGCTTGCTTCCCACAGAAATTCTTCTCCAGTGTTCAATGATTTTATTTTTTAGCCATGCCCCATGGCTTGCAAGATCTTCCTTCCCCAACCGGGGATCAAACTTGGGGCCCCCAGCAGTGGAAGCAGCGAGTCCTAACCACTGGACCTCCAGGGAATTCTCTAATAGTTACATTTTTAGAGGGTAGGCATTACTGCCTTCATTTCCCTCTCCCCAGCACACAGAAACACACACAACACAGAAGAAGCAGCTCATGGGCATCCAGTATGAGTCTCTAGTTTGTTTTTTCTTTATGTGCTCTAGACAAGAGTTTTTGTGTTTGGATACCTAAAGTTTGGGGATTTTTTTGTTTAATGTTTTTTGTTCTTGTTGTTTTAAAAGGAACAAGGTTTATTCTTCTCCCAAGGCTTTTTGCTGGCTGTCAAGTTATTTTGGTTTGTTTGTATCCTGTGATCTTTCAGACCTTCCACTTGACTCTGCCTCTCAGCCAGCAAATCTTCCGTTCCCTCACATGATGTCACTTCCCGAAGATGTCAAAGGCTCTTGCTTCCAAAGTGGGAATAAACGGAACCATGAACCCTTCATTGCTCCAGAGCGATTTGGAAATAGCGCTGTGGGCTTTGGCTGTAACATTCACTCTCAGGCGCCAGAGAAAGTGACACTTCTTGTAGACGGCACACGTTTTGTTGTCAACCCACAAATTTTCACTGCTCATCCGGATACCATGTTGGGCAGGTAATTGATGATAATTTCCTTCCAAATTCACACTGTTCTCTATGAATAGAAATACCTGCTGTTTGCTTTGCATTAGATGTGAGAATGAAAACACTGAATTGCTTGCTTTTCTACCTTGATACTTTTGTGAAACAGCATAAAAACCTTACATGTGTTGGTGATTTTCGGGGGTAGGTACTTTCATTTACAAAGCCAATATAGAGAAATGAGCCCCCACAAAGGGGAGTGCAAAAGGTCCAGGTGGCATCAATTTCTAAGACCTCCGTCACTAATCAAGCTTTCTAAAAGTAGACCTTTGTAGCTGGCTGTTTTGTGTGATGACGGCTCTCTCCCTTCTTCATGTTCCATTCTCTGTGCTGCTTCATTCAGAGTGTAGTCTTATTCTCCCCTCAGCATCTCCTGCCTCCAGCTAGCTTTTTATGACCCGAGTTTAAGAAAGGAAAGCATCTGTTGAGGATTACCATCCCACAAGTATTCTTAGAGCCTGGGCTGGGAGTGAGGAGCCCTCCTTCTAGCCAGCTGTACACACCTTAGCGTGTAGAGCAGACTGGGATAAGAGTGAAATAATTTGTGTATATGCACACAAACATTTGGCTTTTCATCTAGTACTTACTAGTGGATCTTATCTAAAGATTTAACCTCTCTCCAGACTTTGAACTGATTTTAACTGAATTAGAAATCAGAATGGACCACACCATTTGCTGAATTTTAGGCTAAGTGAAATCTAGCTATTAAAATATGTGTCTACTTACATATATACAAATTCATGATGAACCAGCCAGTTTTAACTGGAGCCAAACCTATGTATTTCTTAAACACATGACTTAAGATTAAGCAGAGACATTACTTTGCCAACAAAGGTCCGTCTGGTCAAGGCTATGGTTTTTCCAGTGGTCATGTATGGATGTGAGAGTTGGACTGTGAAGAAAGCTGAGCGCCGAAAAATTGATGCTTTTGAACTGTGGTGTTGGAGAAGACTCTTGAGAGTCCCTTGGACTGCAAGGAGATCTAACTAGTCTATCCTGAAGGAGATCAGTCCTAGGTGTTCATTGGAAGGACTGATGCTGAAGCTGAAACTCCAATACTTTGGCCACCTGATGCGAATAGTTGACTCATTGGAAAAGACCCTGATGCTGGGAGGGATTGGGGGCAGGAGGAGAAGGGGACGACAGAGGATGAGATGGCTGGATGGCATCACCGACTTGATGGGCATGAGTTTGAGTAAACTCCGAGAGTCTGTGATGGACAGGGAGGCCTGGCGTGCTGCGATTCATGGGGTCGCAAAGAGTCGGACACGACAGAGCGACTGAACTGAACTGAAGATTAAGCTAGAACATTAAAACATTTTCTAAATTGGCCCTGTTTTATCAGACTTGACTTCATGTCTTCAGTCTTGGTATCTCCACCACCACTTCTCCCCAGGCCCCCCAAAAAAGGTGCTCCTTGGGGTAGGCTGGCCGTCTGAAGTGGGCTGCCTCCAAAAGTAGTGCTCAAGAAAAGAAAGGCAAGCATTTTCTGGGTAATAGATGCCTTTATCTAGGTGGCTCATCAGTGAGTCAGCCGAGGTCATGAGTTCTGAGTTTCTTGGGTTTGTTCTGTCCTGTGGCTAGCTACATCGAGCATTCATATCCCTGGCCGGTGAGCATCAGATGTGGGCCACTAGTCACAGGGGCTGAGAAACAGAATGATTAATGGAGATTCACGCCACTCCTGGATGAATGGCTCTGAGGGGGGGTTATATTTACGGCATGTTGTTCACTATTTTGATTCATTGCTGTCTCAGCTACACTTCACCCAAAACATTCGAGAAAAAAGTCAGCATTCTTTGAAGACTACTTATCAGATGGATTTTTTATGTACAGTTTAGAGATTTGGAGAGCATGTGACTTTTTTTCAGACCTTGGAAAGCAGCCAGTTCAGGGTGGAGCATAACAGTTTTGAACAGCCGGAGAGCAGGGCTTCCCAACAGGTTAAGGAAGGAAAAGGCAGTGAGTCCCCATGGGCAGACTGACGATCCTGCCCGCCCGCCCGCCCTGTCCTTTGTGCTGGCTTCTTCCACGGCCCCTGCGCAGACATGCAGCAGGGGCAGGAGGAGTCATGGGGCCAGTTTTTCTGGAAGGGATCTGAGAGACGGAGGAGGGATGGGACAGATGAGTATAAAAGCAGGGTTTCCTCCCCGTGCCTCCATGGCCTCTGAAGTCAGCCCAGAGCAGGCCTGCCTCTCTAAAACATGTCAAACTGTTGATGATCCAGTTCTTCCTCTCCTTTTCGGCTTGACCTGAAATTCCCATCATGAGTTACTCCTTGGATTGAAGAAGGGTGTTTTTTTCCAGAGCTCGGCTGTTAAAATGCACCAGGAAAGGGGAAGCACTAACATCTGCATGTACTAATACAGATTTGTCTATCAGATTAGATGTTGAAAAGCAAAACTCGGAAACGTCGAGGATGGTGTGCTGGATGGGTGCATGCTGGTGGGTGAGGAGGAGGTGACGCTGTCACCCGGGAGCCCGGTGCTCCGGAGACTTTCCAGGCGCCAGCTCCACAGGTGCCGCTGTGTGTCAGAAGCTCACTGCTGGTGACCTGTGGAGGCCGCTTTGTTCCTCGTTGCAGGCAAACACTAAAAGCAATTGCTGCCTTTTTCTGTCTAAAGGGAGTTTCCTAAGACTTAAGTGGGTCTTACAGGGGTTGAGTCCTGGTGGTCTGTTTTAAAGTTATATTGTAAGAGGGGAATGGAGTCGTCCAGGATAGGTGAAGAAGGGAGAAGTTTCATCTGTGGAGAGTCCTGCTGGAGAGGGTAACACTGTTGCCTGGGTATCTTTCAGGATGTTTGGACCAGGAAGAGAGTACAACTTCACACGTCCCAACGAGAAGGGCGAGTATGAGATTGCAGAAGGAATCAGCGCAACTGTATTCAGGACGGTGCTGGTGCGTAGTGACCTCTTGTTCCATCCCCTTCCCTGGGGGCTGTGTAGTCAGAAGCCTTCAGAGTTCCATCAGGCTGTGCTCTGACTTCAGGGTTTGTCATTTCTAGTTATTGCCTTTCCTGCTTTATTTTCTCTTCCTGTAATTCTTAAGTCCTTCTTGCTTGTGTGAGCTCAGTCAGGTATCAAGTTGTGATTAAACATGTCAAGATGGCCGGGAGCCACTTTACTGTCTCATGAATCACCAACTTGGTGGTAGGTCTAGTAACCCAGCACTTTACCTGAACCAGGAGTGAATGAGTCAGGGTTGAAGAGGGACGCTTTCATCTTGTTCTTTGACTATATTTCCTCTTTTTTCTCTTTATAGGATTATTATAAAACTGGTATCATCAATTGTCCTGATGGCATCTCTATACCAGACCTTAGAGATACGTGTGATTATCTCTGCATTAACTTTGACTTCAACACTATCCGATGTCAAGATCTGAGTGAGTACAGGAGAAGCTGCCAACTGCATTTGAGCACCTAAACTTTGAATTTGCTTAGAGTTGACATTTTTATTACTAAACAGAAAGCATTTCAAGTGTGGGTTGGAGATCATCTGCAGAGAAGAGACATGGTGCTAACCATTCCCTCTCTTGCTTCAAAACTGTGAGGAAGTAGAGTAAACACAAGAACATGAGTGGGTTCTAAGGCTAGCTTGACCCCGTGAGTCACCAAGCTAATTGCTTCGTCTCTTCGGACCTTAGTATCTCAACTCTTTAACAAATAAGGATGCTCATCTTCAGATGTGAGGGAAGGTTCACTAATAGTCACAGGACATAAATTGGCTGGTACTTCTTACAGTTTATCATTAACTTAGTGTTTGTTAAGTGCTTTATAGATGTGAACTTGCATTAATTTTCACAATTAACCCTTGAAAGATGGGTGATAATCTCACTTAACAAATGAAAAGATGGAGAAATTGGCTTGTTCAAAGCTGTAAACTTCAAAGCTGGGATAACTGATTGAGTGCTCTTATCATTATCTAAGCTTTGTAAAATGATTTTAAAATTCTTTAAAATTCATGATACATTTTCCTTCATATTCCATGACATTCTCTGGATGTGTGGTTTCTCTACTGAGTCTAGTACCCACTTAGAGAAAGTCCTTTGGTGTCCTCAAACCTTAGATTATGCCTCTCCTGTGGTACTCTAAATTGTAGTCCAGAGCATCTTCAGAAGAGGTGCTATAAAGAGTCATCCCCAAATGATGGTTCTATCTCTTATAGAATTAATGTTTATGTTCTGACATTGCATGTTGAAAAAACCCTCAACTGTTCAGAATGCTCAGGGTTTATTAAACAGAAGATTGGTAGAATGTGTAAAGCATGTAACAAATTCACCTTAATTATCACCTCAGAGCAGGAAACATTCTCTGCCTTGAAATGAGCCACTTTTCTGGACCTTACCAATGATAATAGCCGTTACCTCATAATCTTTTCACTCCAGTAATACCTGCATTTGAGCAGAGAGGATGTTCACTTTGCATTTTGTCTCCCAGGTGCTTTACTGCATGAACTGTCTAATGATGGTGCTCACAAGCAGTTTGATCACTACCTCGAAGAGCTGATCCTGCCCATCATGGTGGGCTGTGCCAAGAAAGGGGAGAGAGAATGCCACATTGTCGTGCTGACGGATGAGGATTCTGTGGACTGGGACGAAGATCACCCCCCACCCATGGGAGAGGAATATTCTCAAAGTAGGAGCCCCCTGCATGATGTCGATGTTTTCAGCAAGAAACGTGCTGCCCAGAGTCAGAGCTAGATCTTAGAACCAGTGGGCTGTCACTGGGGAGCTGGTGATCAGCACACTCACCTGGATGGTCAGTCTGGTGACGCAGGTCTTCCATGCTGGGGAGTGTGTGAGCATGCCTGTGCTTCCCACGCCTGCCCCTGGTGTCCCTGCTGGGTCAGCACCGAGGCCACAGGTTAAGTGGTGCTGTCATTCCTTTCTCCACTTGTTTCATTTTTAAATCCTTTTGAATTGGTAGTGATTCAAAATTCAGAAAATACAAAAGGATATACATTGAGAAGTTTTCTTCCCACCCTGCCTCATCCACGTAGTTTTCCTCTTCAGTTTCTTTTATATCCTTCCAGATTTATTCAGTGCACATACATAAGCAATTATGTACATGTTTTTTTTCCCCAAAAGATACCATATTGTAGAGGCTATTCTATATCATGTCTTATATTAAAAAGCTTCTACCATCTCTTTAATGACTGTATAGTATTCCATTGCATGATTGCCATAATTGATTTAACCAGCCCTCTTGATGACCATTTAAGCTATAAATTATGACTGATGCTCCAGTGAATTATCTTTTTAAAGAAAGTCTTTTCACACATGTGTATCTCTGTAGAATAATATTCCTAGAAATAGAATTTCTGTGTCAAAACCTTTGTGCTTTTATGATTTTAATAAAATTTGCCAAATTATCTTCTCTAAAGGTTGAGCCAGTTTATAACTCACAAAACAATATATGATGAGTTTATTTCCCATTTTTCACCAAGACACAGTTTTACTGAAATTTTATATTTACCACTCTGGTACGTGAAAGACGGCATCTTGCTGGAGTTTTAATTTGCATTTCTTAGTCCATGAATGAGACGGAACATCTTTTTAAAAGCCATGTTAATTTCCTTTTCTGTTAACTGTAATCATGCCTTTTGCCCATTACAAAGTTGGATTGTTAGTCTTTTACTTAGTGGTTTGTAAAAGCTCTCTTTGTGACTACTCTCTTTATAGATATCAAGGAAATTAGCCCTTTGTAATAAGAGTGGCAGATATTTTTCTCAGTTCGTTGTCTTCTTAGCTTTGTTTGGTTTTGGGTAAGCAGAGATTTTTTTAGTTTTTCCTTTATGACTTCTAGGTTTTATGTCATATCCAGAAAGCCTTCCCTACCCCTGAGGCTATAAAAATTTCTTAACATGATTTCTTATGGTTGATTTATTATTTAACATTTACTCTGTGATCCATATGAATTTTTTGGCATCATGGTTCAGGTCATTCATCAGTCTGAATCTGTTAGCTCATCTCCTTTTTCTTACAGAGGTATTCACTGCATGACCTTACAGAGGTATTCACTGCATGACTAACCCCAGACTTATTTTTTCTTTTCCAGTTCTTTATAGCTCTAAGCTCTACAGATTTTTCAAATACATTGAGAATCGGGATGTTGCTAAAACAGTGTTAAAGGAACGGGGCCTGAAAAACATTCGCATTGGAATTGAAGGTAAAGAACAATCCCGTCAGTATCCAACTTGCATGGCTTGTGGATATAGTTGGATATGTGGCTATCTTATGTCATTAAAACCTGGTTTCTGAGGGCCTAGAGAATAGACACACATGGAAACCACATTCCTACCCAAGTTTGAAATTCCTGTTTTTGTTTTGCCCATACATTTTCATTTCCATTTGAAAATGCTTTAAAGCAGCTGTAGGAATAAGTTCCAGTTGACTGCCTCAAGATACAGAGCAGTCAGGGCGAAGGACACTGGAGGGAAATGCAGGGCTCGTGGGCTCACCACGTGGGAGGGTATCTGTTTAGTTAGCAGTCCTAGTGAGGACCTTTCTGGGATCTGAAAGGGTCCTTCTGAAAACTAACTTAGAGACTCGTTTTATTCTACTGCATACCCCTGAGGAATGTCTGGGTATATTGACAGACCTGCTTTAAGTGATTGGAGCAGTGGCTCCCAACCTGTGATCTCCATGGAAGCATATTGGAGACTGACTTGAGAGAGTGCGGAAACCATTCTGATCTCCCCTCCGTGGGTCTTTGACACTTGTTTTGCTGTTGTAGCTGTCTCGGTGTTGCCCTCAGAACCTGTCACTGTGTCTGACTTCGGTTGGAACTTAAAGTTGGAAGAGATTTTTGAGATCATCTATTAAACCTCTTTCTACTACGTCCTCCTTTATCTCTTTGATAACTATAGGGACAGAGGGAGAGGGGTCACTCCATTTCGCAGAGTAGCCCATCATACTGTCCTACCATGAGAACACTCTTCCACTGTTAGTAGATGACCTCCTCCCTCTTCCGTCTTCCTTCTAGTTCTAGTCTGTGAAGTTGAATAAGATTTCTCCCATTTCCATGTGACAGCCTTTTAGATACTGTAGGCAGCATCCCAGTTTTTCCTTTAGATTTAAACATTTCACATTTCCTTACCTATTCATACAGGATGCCCTCTAGGCCATAGAATGAGAGGGCCATAGTAGCCATGTCACAGTAGGATTTTTGTTCTATAGTGTTCAAGCCAGTAAAAGAAAGACTTCTGAAATTAGTAAGAGGCTTCTCCCCCTTCCATTAGGAAGAATATAGTTTTTGTTATTTCTCTTTCAGGGACAAGACCTACTTAACCTGGGCAGCTGGGGCTGGGGAATATGGTCTCCTCCCTGTGGTTTTCACATGGTCTTGAGACTTGGGAGGAAACTGATGTGGTTAGAAAGAAGGAAGTATGGGAACTCGAGTGAGTGATTTTCTGGGGTTATGATGGCCTTTTTTCCCCCCGTTTCAGGTTATCCTACCTGTAAAGAAAAAATTAAGAGGAGACCTGGCGGCCGGTCTGAAGTAATCTATAATTATGTGCAGCGCCCCTTTATCCAGATGTCATGGGAAAAAGAAGAAGGAAAGAGTCGCCATGTGGATTTCCAGTGTGTTAGAAGCAAATCCCTCACAAATCTAGTAGCTGCTGGAGAAGATGTCTTGGAGGACCAAGAAATCTTAATGCACCATCCACCCCAAGTGGATGAACTTGACCGGCTGAATGCCCCACTTTCTCAGATGGCTTCTAATGACTTTCAGGATTAGGGCCGGCTGTGGGTCTGTCCCTCTGCAGGCCTTGTCTCTGTGTGGGATGCCCAGCCAGTACTCCCCTGTTTGTCTCACATGCTTCTCCCCCATCCTTTCCTCTTTCCCCATAATTAACCTGTATCCTTTTCAGTAAGCCTGTGCCTCCGGCAGAGGATGAAAAAGCATTCGCTGGTAATTCAACTACCAGCTTTGCAGCAGCCCTGGAAACTTGAAAATTTGGGGTCTGGTGCTGTTCACCAAGTCTGCATAACTGTGGAAGCAGAAAAGGAAGTCAGGACTCCTGTTGCCTCATATTTGGCAAAGCAGTTCTCGTCCTTCACACTCTGTTCTTGGTTGTTGTTTGTTTTGTTTAATACCAGGCGAATTACTTAGCAGCAAGGGACCAAACTTAAAAGGAGACAATCTGTACCTTCTACAAACACACACTGATGGGATGCCCATTAGAGGTTAGTGAAGGTACCATCCTGGTGGCATCTGTGCCCAGGCTGCATCTGGGAAGAAATAGGCTCTTAACACAAAATGTTCAAAAGGAAATTCTTTTTTTTTTTTTTTTAATATTTATTTATTTGGCTGTACCAGGTCTTAGCTGCAGCATGTGGGATCTTCAGTGTGAAGTCTTAGTTGTGGCACGTGGGATCTGGTTCCCTGAGCAGGGATCGAACCCAGAGCCCCTGCATTGGGAGCCAGGAGTCTTAGCCACTGGGCCACCAGGGAAGTCCCGAGGAAATTCTTAAGAGCTTCAATTCAGTTTTGTTTTTCATTATAGCAGTGAACAATCTAAAACCTCACAGATTCTTTGACAGGAAGGATAATGCGTAACAGTGTTTATGAAACCTTTTTAGCTGCAAGGTTTTTGAGTCTAAACAGATTATTATTGGAATGAAATTCACAACCCAAGTTGAAGAAGCTCTCCAGATCAGACCACTTTGATTCTCCTGGCTTGGAATCTGGTGTGAAGCTGTAGCCTTCACCCTAGGCTAGCATGTTGCTGTGGGTGTGTCTCGGAGACCTCAGATATGACCTAACAGGCTTTTAAGATGTGAGCAGTAAGTTTCCAAAAGTGCTCAGTTTCTCAACAGGAAGACTAGTAAGAGCTTGGGAAGAAAGATTGGGGGTGAATCTGAGTGGGGAAACGTCACCTGGTTAGGCTTTGTCCCAGCGTAGGATTTTTTGTTGTATGTTCATTTCATACCATGGAATATTTTAGGTATCAAGGTATTTTGATTTTTTAAACAGTCTGTCAGTTGCTCACACACTAGGTAGGAAAACCATACTAGTGTCAACCCCAAAGGAAGAATGGGTAGAAGGGAATCCAGCTCAGTGATCTGATTGCTGTCGGCTCTGTGTTAACAGAGCGTGGTCACTCCTCTCTGTACTGATGTCCCCGTGGCTGTGAACTGTAGAGCTTGGTTCAGAGTTTACAGCCAGACACGTCTTGAGACTTTCTCCCATTTTGTGGTAGAGGCTGGCCTTCCAGTCACTGAGCCTGAGCATTTAAGAAGGGACACAGTTTCCTTCAAGTTATTTAAGAACAGCCCTTTTTTTAAATTCCATACGATACTGTGTCTCATTTCCATAAGATACTAGTAGGGAAGCTACTCAATGCCATTTTATGACTGCCCTAGTCACAGTCCTCCAAAGGTAAAGTCAGGAGTGTGCTGACAGCTACTTTTTCCAGGCTTGATGAACAAGAGTGTTCTTAAGGCGTGTGTTCTGTGCATGTGACCACACATCAATGCTCTGTTGTTATTCAGAAAAATTAGTAGCAAGGGGTTAAACTGAGCCATCCCCCAGCTACATAGTCACTCTGATGAACACTGGCATCCATTTGTATGGCTGATGGCCAGGATTGCTGTTGAGGGTTAGTGTTACTTTGTAGCCCAGAGGGTAGTTTTAATTCTGTGAAAAGAACTGGCTCATGTGTGAGGTCAGGCTTGGCTTTGACCTTCCTGGGACTGCATTTACACGTGTGAGTAGTTGACCAGCCCAGATTGTTTAATGGTGCTTCCTTTACAGTTGACTTCCATGCCATCACAAAGGAAACTGGAGTTAAACTTTTCGTGTAGTCTGTAGTAATTATGTGTAATTTGTTTTATAGCTTACATATTAACATTTAGGGGCAAACATGTCTTAGCTAACACAATTATTCCTTGCTTAGGTAAAAGGCTAGGTATGAAAGTATGGCTTGTACTTAACACTCTGCTCTGTGTAAATAATTTAATTTCCTCAGGCTTTTAAAAACTAGGTCTTTTTTCCCCCAGAATTGGGTTGACGTGCTTTTGGACCCAGCGCTTCAGGTGTGAGCTGGAAATGTGTGGCGGTGTCACCAGGGGGTGGTGGCCGGGGGGCAAGCTGGGCCTGCAGGCTCCCTCTGGTGGAGAGGGTATCTTCGGTGGCCCTCCCCTCCGGCCTGGAGGGAAGCATCGCTGATTTGGTGGCTCCTCTCAGCCACAGCTGCTGTCCCCAGGGCCAGGACATTCCGCAGTGGCAGGACCTCACAGTCTCGCAGGGCCAAGAGCTGGGTTACAGTCACTCTCGTCAGGAGTCAGCTACTGGCCAGCTGGGCAAGAGGTGTTTCTCATGAAAAAGGTAGCACTCAGGTTTGTTGTTTTTTTTCCTAAGTGCCTAAATAAGAAAGCCAGACAGTTTGTACAGAAACATTTTCATAAGAAGATGGTTTTGCCCAGACTGTCTTACTCAGAGGTATCTGTGTCAGCACGCAGATAAACCTGAATGGAGGCTGAGGATCTGAGTCTGTGTGTGCACCCGGTCATACTCAGCCGATGCGGAAACAGTCGCCATTAAGGAACTGGGTGCAGGTTTGGAGACTGTTGACCTGTGTCTGAGATGACTTAGTGGTTTCTCCAAAGTGGAGAAGAGGTACTAGAAGAGTGACAGAAAGAAGGGTAAGGGTGCTAGAAAGTAGCTTAATTTATTGCACAACATGCAGTAGCCAATGCTGTTTTGAACTAAATTCTGCGTGGTAACCTAATGTATGCAGGTCTGTGAAAGCACTGTGGAATAAGCCCAGGAAGGATGGACAGTGTTCCAGCTGATCCTCCTCTGAGGAAACACAGCCAGAGTGTGATGGGAGCCTTTACTGAGTAGTAGTCAATAGAAAGTTACGAGTCAGTCTTGGTGATTTACTCAGTGCCACTTCTTGCCATCATTTTGAAATTGTTAAACTGGGCATAGTTCAGCAAGCAGACCTGAGGCCTTTGTGGGAGATGGAGCCACGTTTGTGCTCTGGCGGGATACCCTCTGCAGGAGAACATGACATTTCCTCTTTAAGGCAAAATGCTCGTAGGTTTTGCCTCTTTACTTTGTATTTATGTTTAAAGTTGCACTTGTTCACCTACCAGTGTTTACGAAATCCTTATATTTGGGATGCTTTTTCTATAATAAAATGTTATCCTTTGTGTCCATGTTGTTTTTGTTGTTGCTGTTTTTAGCAAAGACTAGGTTTGGAGCTGACAGTAGCAGCACACAGGCTGTCCTGGAGGGTCTCTTCCTTTCCTGCGGCAGCTGGGAGCTCACTTGCAGCCCATGTCTGCTTCCCCACCCTGCGGTTCCTTGTAATTCGTAGGTTCCAGAGCCCTAACAGTCTGCCTTCTCAAGTGTTTGGTTAACTTGCATTCAAGACCACTTGAACCCTCAAATCCAACTAAGGACCCCACAAAGCCAAATGTAAAATAAGGTAAGACAGCTCATACCTCTATGCTCTAATTTTGGTTTAGAGCAAGTGAGGAAACACAGCAGGAGTGAAAGGTAAGTAAGAGGCTGGGTCCCTGGAAAGCACTGCTGTGGGCATCTTGCTCCTCCTCTGCTCTGTCTCGGCCTCTTCCACTCGGGTGCCTCCTGGACTCCCGCTCACTTCGCCTGGGAGCTTATTGGTGATAGTGACGACTTAAAGGGTGCTAAGCAAGCTGGCCTCCCTGACAGGCCTGCCCTTAGCAGCACAGAGGTTCAGAACATGCTCTGAAGACATGGCCTGTTAAGTATGTTCAAGGGCAAACACTGCTTAATCATGGGGACACATTGCCTAGGACACAATTCCTCCCTTCAGGGGGCTTTTATAATTGCGTGAAGACAGATCCATAAATAGTTGAGGTCACTTGGGAATCCCAAAAGGGTAGAGTAGCCAGTTCTTACTATGAGGATTAGAGGAGAGTTCAGGAGAGGATTCTATACATGACGTGAACCAAACTGTGAAAGACAAACATAGTGGTTTTGGATCCATGAATCTAAAAGGAAGAATTCCAGACCAGCTCAACTGTGTAATCAAAGATGTGAAGGTTGAAATAGTTGCCTACTGTCATGAGGGAAGAGGACGGGGGCATGCAGAAATGAGGCCAGAGTAAGGAGGGACCCCTGTACCTCAGACAAGGTGTTTGGTCTCACTGCATAAGCTATTTGGGACCCTTAAGGGTTTTATCAATAACCTCAGATATGCAGATAACACCACCCTTAAGGAAGAAAGTGAAGAGGAACTAAAGAGCCTTCTTTGATGAAGGTGAAAAGAGGAATGAAAAAGCTGGCTTAAAACTCAACATTCAAAAACCTAAGATCATGGTGTCCTGTCTCACCGCTTCATGGAAGATAGATGGGGAAACAATGGAATCAGTGACAGACTTTATTTTCTTGGGCTCCAAAATCACTCCAGATGGTGACTGCAGTCATAAAAGATGCTCCTGGGAAGAAAAGCTACGACAAACCTAGACAGCATATTAAAAGGCAGAGACATTACTTTGCCAACAAAGGTCTGTATGGTTTTTCCAGTAGTCATGTATGGATGTGAGAGGTGGACCATAAAGAAGGCTGAGCACTGAAGAATTAGTGGTTTTGAACTGTGGTGTTGGAGAAGACTCTTGAGAGTCCCCTTGGACTGCAAGATCAAACCAGTCAATTCTAAAAGGAATCAATCCTGAATATTCACTGGAAGGACTGAAGCTGAAGCTCCAATACTTTGGCCACCTGATGCGAAGAGCCAACTCATTGGAAAAGACCTTGATGCTGGGAAAGACTGAAGGCAGGAGGAGAAGGGGATGACAGAGGATGAGACAGTTGGATGGCATCACTGACTGGACGGACCTGAGTTTGAGCAAGCTCTGGAGTTGGTCATGGACAGGGAGCCTGGCATGCTGATGTCCATGGGGTCACAAAGAGTTGGACAACAAAGAATGAGTGAACAACAATGGGTTTTATGCAGGAGAATGACATGACCAGATCTGAAATTTAAAAGAATTTCTTTGGCATCAGGGAGAACAACAGACTTGAAAGGGGAAGGAATAGGAACAAAGAGGCCAGCTAAGAGACCACAACAATGGATTCGGCAAGGAATGATGAAGACTGGCTGGATGGATGATCACGTTCAAGAATTATACATGTTCACTGATGGGAGTTGTGTAAGAAATTTCTGGCATGGACAGCAGGAAGAATGAGCTAGAAAGACGCCAGTGGAAGCAAGAAAATCTCCTTAAACAGTTTGTGCTTGTAAGAGGGCTTCCAGATGGTAGTTTCTGATAGGGACTTGTTATGTGGGATCTAGAGTTCTGGGGAGATATTCTGGGCAGGATGGTCATTTTGAAGATCTC